TTTTCAAGTCTCATCCCTTGAAAGCTGATCTACTGATCTCTTGGTATTTTTAAGGCAGAGCAACCTATAGCAATTTGCTGTCTGATGTAATGCAAGGGACACGCTGTACTAAGCTTCAATGTCCACTCAAACTGGCTTTTTTTGTAATCGTCTAAGATGTCAGACATTTTCGAAATTGTAGCTTAAACCACTTGCATTAAATAATGGGAAGATCTAGGCAAATCGTACTTGAAGAAGGCTATTTCTCCCAGTTGAAAACACAGTTCAACGAACGTACTAATACAGTTCTCTCTGATCTCCCTCTTAATTTTCGCGCGAGAAAATTTTTTTTCAAGGCTCTACTTTAGTATGAGGGGGTCTGGATTGAGTTTATTTTCCGTCAAACATTGCTGAATACTCCAGTTTCGCGTTCTGTGCTGATAACTACTGTTCGTTTTGCAGATACTGTCAGGCGTGAAAACGAGGCTAACCCTGTATCATATCATCATGGTAGTATACAAACAAACCAAGTGCGAGCGTGTAAAAATGTTGATTTTTTTTAACTTATAAGAGCTCTTTGTAGTAAATATTTAAGTCGAAAAATGTGGCGAAGGCTGCCTGGTGGATACAATTCAGAAGATAGAGGACTTTCAAAAGCTTACAGTGAAATATTTAAGAGAAATATTGAAAGTAGAAAACCAACCATGTGGCGGCAAGAAGGCTGATCTTGTCCTAAGATGTCGAGCTATTTATCAAAGAAAAGTGGTCTGCGTCGAGCCTGACAACGTTTCAAAACAAGAACAGCCGTTGATATCGTTGATTTCGAACACCAAAAGTGACCACGAAATAACGTACGAAGTTTTGTCTAGAGATTAAGCTTCTCGGGGATGTGAGTGGAGCAAGGATTTGCGAAATATACCGTCGTTCAACCTCGTACAACTCTACCACTATGGATATGGATGGCTCTGCTCCTGAAAAATATAAACACCAAAGTTTAAAGTAATCTTGAGTTTAACTTGATACTTCGATAGCCTTATATTAATAAAGAAATATTCAAAATCTTCAAAGCTAAGTGAATCGTACGAAAATAATCTTTGCAATTTGCTCAACTTTAACTTATATAGCTTACATAAAACTCAAGAGCTCACTAAAAGCTCACATTTTACGGGCAGTCTTATGGGCATACAAAAACATACCTAGTCGTAGCCTGTACCGCGTTCCTCCCGGAGGTATGCATAGGTCATTTTCCTTAAAATGATGGCCGCATAAGACCGTTGAAGGTTTCACGTAAAAGCCGTCTCTGCCGTGCTGCCGCTTGATTAAATTGCACCATCGATTTCGAAGCGATGGCTTGGTTGGAAACTTAAAGAAGTGAATTTTCGATGGTGTTCCGTCGCTTAGATATTCAAAATTATTACAAGCTACCACTGAACTCTGCTTCCCTCCACTTCTATGTTTTCTTTGGAGCTTTGGTTCGTTCATAGTGCTTATAGAGTCAACAACAAATCTAAAACGAAACTTTCGCGCTGTGTTTTTTTCAAGTGTTTTATAGGGATAGCCTCGATTTCAGGTTTACATTTGCGCCTGCAGTGCATGTACAGCGGCATTTCGTGAAACGAGCAAAGGGAGTATTAGAAAAACAAATATGGCGACAGTTTGAAGGTTTCGGGGAGGGTTTTTCTTTTAACGCTTTCACTTCTGGAGCGTCCTCAAGGATGGTCTCAGATCACAGACTCCACAGAGCAAAAATAGCAATTTTCAAGCTCTTTTGGAAGTATCTAATTGTCAAGAAATGTCTCTTTTTATGGACGATTTGCTTATTTCGAGTCGGAGCTGGTTGACTTCCTAGAGGGTTGCTCCTCAAATCGGCGATCCTTTGCCATGGATTACGCTATATTTGAAAGAGACTAGAGGTAATGGCTAGCCTCGAATATCGAACATTGCTGACTTTGCTGGAAGTAAGTAGACAAACAGCTTTGGAATTATTTTTATGTTAGAAGTACAGCTTAATCTCTACTGAATGTGTTTCGAGTCGGAGCTAAGGAATAGTCTTACTCGTATTTGTGGTATTTTGGATTTTTGTGGAAATCCCATGCATTTCCTTACACGATTTCACCGCCATTAACTTCTCAATACGCACTCGCGTCCGGCATTTTGACCCAAAATTCTGGCAATGAATTTCCCACGCACGAGATTACTGTGTGGTGGATGTCTTCCCTTGGGTGGGATAGGTGCGTGATGGCCCTGAAAAGCCCCTATGAAGAATAGTCAATTAACCTATGTATGTATGTATGTTTCTATGTATGTATAGAAGAGGACTACTCTGGTGTATAGATGGGAGCAAAAGCCTATAGCTCAACACTCATGGAAACGACTGCTGAAAGACTACAATGGAAGAACTGAGGTGAGGGTGAAACAAAGTTGAAACTCTTACATGGGCGAATTAAGCTCATCATACCTGTACATGAATGTCCAGTTCCATAGCATCCCTTCTTCAATGTGCATTTATACGAACCATAACTGTTTGAACAGTTTGAATTCACGTCACAAGGCAAGATATCACTCTTGCATTCATCACTGTTTGGAAAATAAACGGTAAATGGTGTAAGAATAGATAAAATAAAAATAAACAGAGTCAATTAAAATATTTAATAAATAATCTCTGATGGAAATAGGCAGAGATCAAATGAAGTAAGCTTACCTACAGCTCTAAAGTTCAGATCACAATACATCAACTGTGTCTTTCCACTACCAGTTAGATTCAACCAGTACTTGTTGGTAATAGCATCTTTTCCCTCACTTGCCTTTATTTCTTGGCAAGAAAGTGCTGGTAATTGCAATATGGAACCCAAGGGTGCTGCAACAGATAATAAGTTAAAGAATAAATTCTAAAGATAACTACTTCGTTCGTTTCCTAAAATCTCTTCTTGGAAATGGTGAGAAATTTAAGAGGATCAACTTAAATGTGGTGTACTATTTCCTTTGAAATCTTTCATTACCTTCCTCGGATAGGTAAAGGTAAAGTAGCGATGATATCATTTTGAAAAAGATTGGAAGAATACTCTATATAACATCACCGAGAACTAGTATTTATGAAAACTTTTCAGGTTCCTCGTATTCAACTCATTTTTTCTCACACTTTCGTTTTTCTCAGGCAACACAGGATCACTTAAGGGCTGATAGTTTCTAAATAAACTGTTTGGGGCTGCGTCGGTGGGGGTAACGAGATAATTTGGATATATCAAGAAAGTTGAAACAGTAAATTGGCCACCTTAACGATTACAAAAGCTGACTTTTCGAGCGTTAGCCCTTCGTCGGAGCGAATAGAGGAATTGTGGGTTGTGTGTGCTTTTAAAGGCAGAAAATGGAGCTACGTTATTGGTGGGAACATGGCAACGAGAAAAACACAAATAAATGAGTGGAATGAAAATTCTGAAGATAACAGGAGCAGTTAGATAGGTTGTTAAAAAAATCTCACACAATAGGTAACTTGAATATGGAATTTTTTAAAACAAAAACCGGATTGCAAAAAGAAGCTGCTGTCAAAGTTGCCCACAATGACAATACAAGAGCTTACGAGTAAAACAACAGAATATGAAAAGTTTATATTCTCTTGGTAAAACACGATAAGATGAAAAAAAAATTGAATATAAAAAAATTCCCGTGCGCCATTTTCTTTCAAAAAATACCCGCTTGAGGGCTTTCATGGGATAAAATGCCTGCTGACTGAGACGAAAAAATATGTAGTACAAGTGAGGCCTTCTCACCATATCAGTAATGATACTACGCGCTGAAAAATACAATCTACGTAAATCCCTCTTTTCAATATATTTTTTTTTCGAATAAAATCATACCTCTTCCGTTCAAACGCATGATATAAAACCAACTGGGAGCGGAGCGAAAGTTTTCAGGCCTCGCCTCTTTGGTGCGGTTGCTCAGTTTGCAGATCTCCTCCTTTCTATTGTAGCTGTAGCTTTGGGAAGTGATTTCTTGTTTACATCGGATATCACAGATATAAGGAGCTGATGCTGACATCGTTTTTAGGACGAACTTTCCGAGTCTCATCCCTTGAAAGTTGATCTACATCTTGCACTGTTCATTAGCAAATACGCAGTTCACGACAAAAACTAAGATGAAGAAACAAAAATTGGGCCATAGCATCTTTCCTGTAAGAAATAATCATTCAGTGGTTCGTGCGTCAGTATACGTCTATAAAGATATCAAGCATACTGTGAGTTTACAGAAAACGAAAGGTGGATAAGAGTGCCCTTTGGCTCAAGCTCCTTGTTTCCCTGTTGCACATTATGAAAAATTGAGAATTTTCTATGCAAGCAATTGCTACACTACCAAAGAATTACCGATAGAACAAAAAAAGGGTGTCACAGAGAATCTAATTTTTCTCTTTATTTGTCGGTTGTTAACATTTATAACTAATCGTGCGATTGTGGTGCAGAGATTATCGTGAGATTGAAGCATATGAATGACTCATAATAAAATCATGTCCGGGTTTCCCACCATTTTTCCCCGACTTCATATCAAATCTGAAGACAAGAGAGGTCTCTTACATTTGAAGAGGATACTAACTCTCAACCTTTTGAGGAGTTCTTTAATGTTGAGCGCTATCCGGTAGGTTTATATCTCAAAGTTGTTGGTTGTCGTTATACAACTATGGTTTAAATCTAAAAAAACTATGAACCTATACTTGAATAATTTCCCTCTGCCTTACTAAGAGACTAGCCTGGCAGCTTCAACCTCTGGTTTTTGGGAAACTGTAATGAATACAATATAGCTTCGATTAATACTAATATGGTTGTGAATCGTGAGAGGTAACACCAGGTCATGATGAAAATTTGACAGAAGCCCGGAACCCCCGCGGACTTAAAATATCATGCCTTTCCACTAGGTGTTCAATATCCCCTATGATTTTTGACAGCACAAAAAAAAATGTTTCTTTTCAAGAGGCTTTGTTTTTTTCTTCTCTTGGGACGCATTCAAAGACATTTTTTGTCATTTCATTCTTCACAGACGTACTGAATTTCAATACAAAGAAAAATTTGTTTAGAAATTTAGAACAGTTAATAAATATTTCTTTGACCGGGGCTTGGTTAACTCTGACGTTTTTTAACTAGAAATTATCATTACTTTTCCCTGATCATATTTTAATCACAGAATAAATTCTTATATATTTTTTATACTTGAGCAAAAATACGCATCGAAAATGATGAACACTCGGTTAAGGCCTCCTTATATAATTTATGATTTTCTGTTTGATGCCTAAACTTTGTTTTGTCGTTGTTTATCCTTTCAGAAGTTGGCAGAAATGGCTACAAAACATGATTGCAATCTTGCATATTCATATACTTTTTCTAGATTGTGTGGGACAATGCTGCTTCGATTAATAACAAGGTGATGAATCATTTCTATAGGCCCGCTCAACAGTAGACGCTAAACTTATCAGGCCAATTACACTTCAATTGAGAGTTCTTAACTTCTAAGGGCAACGTCATTATCTTGGCTAGAATTTCTCCAAATATTTAAGCCAAGTGATTCTGAGTTAGTCGCATGATTCTTCGTACTTAGATCGTTCGAGATCATTTTAGATTGACCATAATGTAATACCACGACATCATAAATTGTTAACAGGCTCATAAAAAGGTCACCTGAAGCCCCTTTGGAAACTAAAAACACTATTAGCTTTAACTATTCTGCATTCACAATAGGAGTTTCAGATCTTTTTTTTCAAGAAACCCTTAAAAAAAATCAAATAACGACCACGACCTTTCTTAGCGTCTTAATTAGTAAAACTAACACCCTTCTAGACTGTGCCCGGGAACTTTTAAGCAACTTTTGGGAGTCTAGCAACATTGTGAAATCTTCATATATCTGAGAAATCTGCGCGCAAAATAATATCCTCTTATATTTGTCATTTCTTCCGGGAGATCAAGTCACATTTTTAGGAGAGTAATAGATTTCTTTCTTCCCACGACCTTTATTAGCGCGTTCATTAGTAAAATTTAATACCTGCAAGGTCTATCCCGACTGTGCTCGGCAAATTTTAAGCAACTTTTGGCGTTTACAGGTACTTTCTTCGATTCTAGAAACATCGAGAAATTCTTGTATATCTGAGAAATTTTGGCGCAAGATAAAGCCAAAGAGCATATATCAAGCCCGAACAAGCCGACGATTTCATATAAAATTTCAGTTTATATAAACTCCTTAAATGTCTATCAACTCATAACCTGTCATTTGAGATCGTTTCGTGCGACAAGTCGCCAAATGAAGCATGTGTTTTGTCCCGTTAGATTTAAGCTCTGAATATTCTTAAATCTAGCCCATATTTACGTGAAACTCTTTGAAGCTAAGTTTCAAGCTGTTTTTTCTTGAGTGATATGAGTGATTATTACTTAATATTTCATTAAAAAATATCAAGAAATTTAGAAGCTTTTGGATTTTAGACATTTTTTTGCAACCTTTTTAAAAGA